AAAACTTGTGCATTCTTGTAAACAGAAATTTAACTGCCAAGACAATTACTTCAGTAAAATTAACACTAATAACACTGAAAATGTATTTCTGATAGATACCTTAAATCTCATCTAGCTTTCCTGATTCTGTGCAGCCCTCTGTAAGTGAAAGTTATAATTTTCATATACTGAAAATATACTTTTGATAGGTTCTTACCTCTACTCACATAAATAGCTATTCTTGTTCAGTGATGCCCTCTATATGCAAAAATTTTTGTGCATGCCACAAGCCTTGAGCTCCCACACACCTTAAAATCAAATGGTTCAAATATATTTTGCATCTAAATCATCATGTGACAACCCTCCACCAATAAGAGTGTTAAATACTTTCATGACACATGTGACTCCCTCTATTCAATTCTACTGAACTATCACTTCGAGTTTCAGTATAAAATGGAAGCACCTGTTTCCAGTGGGGAAGAAGGATGGGAAGTGTAAAGGGAAATAAGTATGTATCGGATATATATTTTCAGTGTAGGAAAATTATAAGATCCAATACGTGACATTACTTCCTCTCACATAAATAGCTAGAATCGAATCCCACACCAAAGTGGAGGGGCTGGTGTGAAGGAAAAACAAAGAAGCATTCCTTAAAAGTGTCCAAAGAACACCCTAAAAAGATAGACCCTCATAGGAGAGGATCATACATGGGAGACTGTACCAAATCTGTACCAGGTGTACTCTTCGCCCAGTTTGGAATGAAGTGTTGCAGACATGGGCAGAAAAAAGGAGGGAGATAACAATGGTGGGATAGAAATCAGAACCACCATATAACAAATCTCAACCCCATAGAGTACTGGAATGTGGGTTAAAGTGAAAGGATGTGCCCCTAGGTGTAGATTGGCAGGGGCATGATGGACTGTACATGGCAAGTCAACTACATCCAAAACCCCGGTTGCCAGAAACTGACATCCACATGGAGGTAGGAAAGAGGATCATACTGGGGGCAAGTCAACTAAAATCCAAAACCCAGTCATCTGGTGGAGGTAGGAAAGAGGATCATACCATCTTCACCTCAAGTTCAGCAGACTGTAGGGAATCTCACCCCCCCCCCCTATCTATGAAAACGACACATGATAGCAACGTGAGAAATTGATTGACCATACCCGGGAATCTGACATCCAAACAATTGGTATCATAAAGACGTCTCTTTAATGTAAGCTATCTCACTCAATACTGAGGGATAGCATAAGAGGAAGAACCGTATTAATCTGCAAGTACCTCCATCGTGACCCATAACACGAATGGAGGAACAAGAGTAAAATTGAGTGAGGAAACTGAGACATCTGTAATACATGTGTGAGGACTTATATTGATTGATTGAGCTCTGAATCCAAAACCCAGCCACTGGGAACCAACAGAGATGGGGCATCAGATTGGAGGACATCTCCTCATCTACACCAGCAGAACATCACCCTACTCTCAACCGAATGGTTTTTCAGTATTTGTATAGTTTATCATTATCACATTCAGGAGGATGCCTCCATGGTCCACCTCCCCAGCAGCTTGAAACTGGAAAGTGGTAAGGAATCCCATACTCCACTGGAAGAAAAGGGGGAGAAAATGTGGTGTAGAGTCCAGAGGAAGGACAACACTGAAGACAGTGCAACGGGTGACCATGAAAACCCTATTTTGAAAAGAAGATCATACCTGATTTATTCACTCCAAGGCATGGCAGAGATGGGCAGTTATCCCCTTCTGATTTACTCATGAAGTATGTGGGTGAGTATGGTCCAGAAGGAGCATATTAATGAAGGAAATATATTGAGAGGAAAACCTAGGAGCGATCTTGTAGAACACCCCATCTCAAGAGTGTACATTTAGTGGCCATGGAAATTATAACTGTTAAGTCATTATGGCCTTACATTGCAGATTTGACTAGTTTAAGTACACCTGGACAGGCACCACTCATCACAGAGCAAGATACATAAATAAAAAAAAAGGACATGTCCCTGAAAAATAAGGGGTATATATTAAAGAAAGTATCTTATCCAGTCACAGTCGCATCAAAAGAATGAACGATGGCAACAGGTGGATGACAGTATCCTGATAAGCAAAAAACAGCTACCCAAAGTAGGGAACGGGAGATGAACATATGAGGTGTAGTCCCAGTGCTCGACAGACAAAGTACCTCCAATGAATGACAAGGTTGATATGCAGGGAAAAGTGTAGGTGCATAATCAGAGTGGAGACACCAGGAATTAATGACAGGAAGAAAGAGACAAGGAATGAAAGGCTAATCGATTCACAATCCAAACCAAATAGATAAGAGAGGAAAAGGAAAAAATCACAGACAAAGGAGTGGTGTAATGGAATGAAACTGGGGATTGGATTCAACGAAAAGAAGCCTTGAAAGCAATGAAGCAACCCACAGCATGTACTGGACAGAGAAGGTTATCTGGATATGAATGAGAATAAAGATGGAAGATGGCAAGAAAAAAAAAAGTCAAATAGAATATACCACGACTTCCCAAAGTATAAGTTAAAAAAAAGAACATAACAAAAAGAACATATCAAACTGAAACAGCCAAGAAAACCAGATCTGTGCCAGCCAGGAAGGATCAATCAGAAAGAACTGACCTGAAGTGACGTAAATGAACAAACATTTTGGGAAGAAGACTGATGGAATGAGAAAAAACTAGTTATAAACTGGATCTAATCCTGTCTGATTGTATCGACAGCCAGATGAAGTGGATGATGAACCAGAGAACAGAAACAAAAGAGGTAGCTTGGAATCGATAAAAAATTCAAATAGTTCACATGGATGAGTACCCCACAGTAGGCAGAGCCACCAAAAATTTGAGGAGAAAGTGTATCAAAACTAGAAAGTCAATCAGCAAGGAGGACACAAGCACCCGCAACATGACACTCCCGGAGATGTATGTCAAGTGTTTGGGGTTCAAAAAGGAAGATCCACTGTCTACCACAAAGGGAACAAGAATGAGTGTCCCCTTGGTGAGTGATATAAGCCACCACTGTCAAATAGTTGGAATGAAACATGATTAGTCAAATCTGGACAAGAGGAAAAGAGTGAATTAAAGTACATTGGACTGATGATAGTACCAGAGTGTTAAGACTTTTCATCTGTAGACCATTGTTCTGAAGCCTCCTACAGATCGAACTATGCTCCCCACCTTTGGAGATGAGCATCAAGGCTGAAAATAAATACAGAAGAGGGGAGGAAGTGGTAAACCCAACATTTTGGAAGATATATTCAACCACCAATACATACAGTCGAAAAGGGAAGGATGAAAGGAACCCTAGCGAGAGACCATGGATCATTCAGTGTCTCCTGAAAATACCACAAATGTGCTAGACCCAAAGGGAGAAATGCTTCCAAACAAACAAAATCCCCAATGCATTAGAACCTCGCTAGCAGTAAAATAGTGAACCATAATGGCTTGGATTGCAGAAAACTCCATTGAATGCATTCAAGGAGAAGAATGGATGGTATGCAACAGGAAAAACTTATCCAACTACCCGAGCTGACTGTAGAAAGGAGGAGATGAAGTATGTTAAGAGTTCCTCCATCTGGAAGAGCTAACCAATTAATGGTA